TTTTTTGACCAAAGTACACCATAGAAAATCAATTTTCAATTTTGGACTAGGGGCGACCCTAGTCAAAATCAGTTTTGTCAATTTTTTCTTCAAGGGTTTATCCAAATGGATTAAAACTTTGCATAAATATTCTAGTGCTTAAAACAAATACAAATAAATCATCCTAAAATTTTTTAAGCAAAGAACCAAGTAGGAAATACATTTTCAATTTTGGACTAGAGGTGACCCTAGTCAAAATCAGTTTTGTCAATTTTTTCTTCAAGGGTTTATCCAAATGGATTGTAACTTTGCATAAATATTCTAGTGCTTAAAACAAATACAAATAAAACATCCTAAACTTTTGAGCAAAGAACCAAGTAGGAAATACATTTCCAATTTTGGACTAGGGGCGACCCTAGTCAAAATCAATTTTGTCACTTTTTTCTTTGAGGGTTTATCCAAATAGATTGTAACTTTGCATAAATATTTGAGTGCTTAAAACAAATACAAATAAAACATCTTAAAATTTTTTTGAGCAAAGAACCAAGTAGGAAATACATTTTCATTTTTGGACTAGGGGTGACCCTAGTCAAAATCAATTTTGTCACTTTTTTCTTTGAGGGTTTATCCAAATGGATTGTAACTTTGCATTAATATTTGAATGCTTAAAGCAAATACAAATAAAATATCCAAAACTTTTTTTGAGCAAATAACCAAGCAGGAATTACATTTTCATGTTTGGACTAGGGGCGACCCTAGTCAAAATCAATTTTGTCAATTTTTTCTTCGAGGGTTTATCCAAATGTTTTGAAACTTTGCATAAATATTCAAGTGCTTAAAAACATACAAATAAAACATCCTAAAAATTTTTGAAGCAAAGAACCAAGTAGGAAATACATTTTCAATTTTGGACTAGGGGCGACCCTAGTCAAAATCAATTTTGTCACTTTTTTCTTTAAGGGTTTATCCAAATGGATTGAAACTTTGCATAAATATTCTAGTGCTTAAAACAAATACAAATAAAACATCCTTAAAAATTTTTTAAGCAAAGAACCAAGTAGGAAATACATTTTAAATTTTGGACTAGGGGCGACCCTAGTCAAAATCAGTTTTGTCAATTTTTTCTTCAAGGGTTTATCCAAATGGATTAAAACTTTGCATAAATATTCTAGTGCTTAAAACAAATACAAATAAATCATCCTAAAATTTTTTAAGCAAAGAACCAAGTAGGAAATACATTTTCAATTTTGGACTAGAGGCGACCCTAGTCAAAATCAGTTTTGTCAATTTTTTCTTCAAGGGTTTATCCAAATGGATTGTAACTTTGCATAAATATTCTAGTGCTTAAAACAAATACAAATAAAACATCCTAAAATTTTTTAAGCAAAGAACCAAGTAGGAAATACATTTTCAATTTTGGACTAGGGGCGACCCTAGTCAAAATCAGTTTTGTCAATTTTTTCTTCAAGGGTTTATCCAAATGGATTGAAACTTTGCACAAATACTTGAGTGCTTAAAACAAATTTAAATAAAACATCTTAAAATTTTTTTGAGCAAAGAACCAAGTAGGAAATACATTTTCATTTTTGGACTAGGGGCGACCCTAGTCAAAATCAATTTGTCACTTTTTTCTTCGAGGGTTTATCCAAATGGATTGAAACTTTGCATAAATATTATAGTGCTTAAAACAAATACAAATAAAACATCCTAAAATTTTTTAAGCAAAGAACCAAGTAGGAAATACATTTTCAATTTTGGACTAGAGGCGACCCTAGTCAAAATCAGTTTTGTCAATTTTTTCTTCAAGGGTTTATCCAAATGGATTGTAACTTTGCATAAATATTTAAATGCTTAAAACAAATACAAATAAAATATCCTAAAAATTTTTTGAGGAAATAACCAAGCAGGAATTACATTTTCATGTTTGGACTAGGGGCGACCCTAGTCAAAATCAATTTTGTCAATTTTTTCTTCGAGGTATTATCCAAATGTTTTGAAACTTTGCATAAATATTCAAGTGCTTAAAACAAATACAAATAAAATATCCAAAAAAATTTTTTGACCAAAGTACACCATAGTAAATCAATTTTCAATTTTGGACTAGGGGCGACCATATTCAAAATCAATTTTGTCACTTTTTTCTTCGAGGGTTTATCCAAATGGATTGAAATTTTGCATGAGTATTCTAGTGCTTAAAACAAAAACAAATAAAATATCCTAAAAATTTTTAAGCAAAGAACCAAGCAGGAAATACATTTTCAATTTTGGACTAGGGGCGACCCTAGTCAAAATCAATTTTGTCAATTTTTTCTTCGAGAGTTTATCCAAATGGATTGATATTTTGCATGAGTATTCTAGTGCTTAAAACAAAAACAAATAAAATATCCTAAAAATTTTTAAGCAAAGAACCAAGCAGGAAATACATTTTCAATTTTGGACTAGGGGCGACCCTAGTCAAAATCAATTTTGTCAATTTTTTCTTCGAGAGTTTATCCAAATGGATTGAAATTTTGCATGAGTATTCTAGTGCTTAAAACAAAAACAAATAAAATATCCTAAAAATTTTTAAGCAAAGAACCAAGCAGGAAATACATTTTCAATTTTGGACTAGGGGCGACCCTAGTCAAAATCAATTTTGTCACTTTTTTCTTCGAGGGTTTATCCAAATGGATTGAAATTTTGCATGAGTATTCTAGTGCTTAAAACAAAAACAAATAAAATATCCTAAAAATTTTTAAGCAAAGAACCAAGCAGGAAATACATTTTCAATTTTGGACTAAGGGCGACCCTAGTCAAAATCAATTTTCTCACTTTTTTCTTCGAAGGCTTATCGAAATGGATTGAAACTTTGCATAAATATTCTAGTGCTTAAAACAAATACAAATAAAAAATCCTAAAATTTTTTTGATCAAAGAACCAAGAAGGAAATACATTTTCAATTATGAACTTGGGACAGGAATTGTCAAAATCTAGTTTTTCACTTTTTTCTTCGAAAGTTTATCTAATTACAGTTAAACTTTGTATGAGTATTCCAATAATTTGGACAAACATTTCTGAATTCATAAAAACATTTTACTCGTCCAAGGGACAAAATTTTAAGTCATGTTGTTTTTGAATGAACAACCAAATTTATAAAATTTGGGTTTGACGACTTATAGAGTACAATTTTTGTTTTAGATATTTAAAACTGTTTTGCATAAATATTTGTATACTCACACAAAGTTGCACTGTAATTGGATAAACCTTTAAAGAAAAAAAAGTGAAAAACTAAATTTTGACTAGGCCTGTCCCTAGTTCATAATTGAAAATGTATTTCCTACTTGGTTCTTTGCTCAAAAAAATTTTAAGATGTTTTAGTTGTATTTGTTTGAAGCACTAGAATATTTATGCAAAGTTTCAATCCATTTGGATAAACCCTCGAAGAAAAAAGTGACAAAATTGATTTTGACTAGGGTCGCCCCTAGTCCAAAATTGAAAATGTATTTCCTACTTGGTTCTTTGCTCAAAAAAATTTTAAGATGTTTTATTTGTATGTGTTTTAAGCACTAGAATATTCGTGCAAAGTTTCAATCCATTTGGATAAACCCTCGAAGAAAAAAGTGACAAAATTGATTTTGACTAGGGTCGCCCCTAGTGCAAAATTGAAAATTGATTTTCTATGGTGTACTTTGGTCAAAAAAATTTTTTGGATGTTTTATTTGAATTGACATAATTCTGACATAAATCATAAACCAATATTATTTTTTGTAATGCATAGCTTAAAAAAATCGAAAGCTAAAATTTTGTTCATACTCTTCACTGTGAAAAGGAAAAATAATTTTCTTTATCTTAAAACACTTGACAAAATAGCGACATAATTCAGGATTATTAATATTTAATAATATTTTATTATGGTGTTCCCGAGGGTGACAAAATTCAAACTAAGTGTTTTTGTAGCTGACATAATTATAACATAAACTAGCTTCAACTTTTGAACTGTCTCGGCCATACTTCACGCCAACCAAGTTCAATGAGAAAAATGTGAAGAAAATATTTTTTTTCCTGTCATTTAATTGTTCTAGAGTGGGTCTAGAATGATACATGGCTTCCTTTAGATAGCGTCTGATGCTGGCTAGTTTTCGTTTGCCAATTACCAACACCAAATGCAATACTGTCTCTGTCAGCAGTAGGGTTTTCATTCCCGGGATTAAAATATATGTAATCCCGTGATCAAACCCGGGATTCAGTACATTTTAATCCCGGGATTGAAAACCCTGGTCAGCAGCTTCTTTCCAAGAAGAAAATTTATTGAAGATTTAATTGTGGAACCCCGCTCCCCTCCCCCCCCCCCCCCCCCCTTCCTTCTTCGCCTAGCTCATTCACTGCAAAAAGTCAAAAATTTCTTTGCAAATGAAAAAAGTTCAAATCCTAAAAGAATGAATCCAAAAAAGATTTTACATAATTTTGTTTTTTATTCATAATCTACATACTTCACAAGAACAATGTCTACAATTTTTAAAAACTGTACGACTTTTAGCCAAATTCGTTCAGGGGAATGGTCTTCATTTCTTATGTCACTATAACATATTGTAGAGGGATCTGAGCCATCAGATGTATCCTTCTATGATATGGTAATGTAACGAAGGTATTCGACTTTCCCTTTTGCAAAAATTTTCTTCCAGTTCAAAAAATAATTTTTTGTTCAAAATCTAAATACTTCACAAGAAGATTTCGTCACTATTTTAGAAAGTGTTTCAGTTTTAGCCTAATTTCTATGCAGGAATGGTCTTCGTTTCATTTCACAATGCATTGTATATATACTGGAACACCGTTGAGTACTCTGCAAAGTGAGGTAATGAAATGTGTTCGACTTTCCGTTTTGCAAAAAAAATTTTTTTTCATTTTATTTTTATTTTTGCTTTATTCTCATGCACATCTCTCAACAACGTGTGATCCCCCCCCCCCCCCCCCCTATTTTCCACATTTGACAAAAAAAACCCAAAAATTATTCTTTTTTTTTTCAAAAATTTTCTTTTATTTTGCTAACAAAAAAATTAAAATCAATAAACAAAAAACGTTCATAATTTTACAGCCATTGGAAGTGAGTATAATATTAAGGTATGATTGGATGTATGAATGTTTAATGCATGCTAAAAACAATTAAATAACATTATAATACAAAAGTAGTCAACAGTTTAAGATCGTTTAGTGTCAGACAATAAAAACTTTCATTTAATATCCAGCATAGCTGTATTGAGGTCCATTTGATGGTTTGAAGTCACTGCTACTTCCATAATTATGATTAGCTGCAATTGCTTCCTTTGATGATGCTTGTCCTGATGATGACTTACCACTTGCAGATGATGACTTACCGCTAGCTGATGATGAACGTACAATGGAATCACGTTCGTGACTGTTTGAACTTGATCCGGATGAGCTATGTGGCGACGAAGATGGTGATGCAACAGTTAATGTTTTAGTTGATTCATGAGCATCTAAATGTCCATGACCATGTCCATAGCTGCCTGATGATACTTCATGGACAGTCGATAAACTTGCTTTAGCTGCTGCTTCTGCAGCATTATTTTGAGCAATTTGTGCGCTTGTTTGAGCATCATTAGCTGCCTTTACCGTTGCTTCATAATCAATTCTATTCACATGAAAATGAAAGTGAAATTTTTCCATTATTTAAAATTGGAAATAAAATTATAATAATGCTGTGGAAATTTACCTTGCTTGATGTAATTGCTCTCCAATCTTTTCAACTCTGGCTTTTGCCTTTCCAACCATATTTGTTTGACTTGCGAGTTCAGCGCTGAATAGAAATTTTATTGATTAGATCTTAATTATGCAGATCATTAAATATGCTTACCTGGCTTCTGATGCTGATTGTTGGGCATGTTCACCTGCTGTTTGTGCATTGCTGTGTTTCAAAATTTAATAATTAAAGTGAAATTTTCTTCAACACTCAACTTAATTTTAGGTGCTACTTACTTTAATGCTGTCTGTAAGAGTTGAAGATGCTGAAGTGCCTGCTGTGCTGACTATAATGAATTACATAACATTAGTTTTAGGTATTAAGTAGTAATGTGTTATAATTAAGTTTAGCTTACTTGCTGTGCTGCCTTTGCTGATCGCTTGGCTTGTCTAAGTTGTGCTAATTCACTCTCTAAAGCTTGATGTGCTTCCAAATTTTCTTGTTCAATTTTTGCCAAAAGAACTTGTTTTCCTTGTAAAGCAGCCATTGCAGTTGACGATGCTTGAAGAGCCAAATTGGCAAGATTGTTTTGAGCAATGTATGAAGCTTGTTTGGCAGCAAGTTCTTGATTAGCGACGGCTGAGCTGGCTTGATCAGCTGAACCTTGAGCGATGTTTCTTAAGCCTACAAAAGGAATTATAAGTAAGTATTGAATAAAATTTGAGGGCTGATTGAAAATAAAGAAAGCTTTAACGGATTTCATAATTTTGAAAATTTTAACGGATTTTAAAACTTCGATTTTACAAGATTTGAATTTAAACCAAAAATTCGTTAAATTTAATTTATTTTTAATGTGAAAAAAAAAACTCCTTTTTGGATAAATTTTACCATCAATATCTGACCCTAGAAAAACTAATGATGAACCTCTGTACTGCTTAGCTTAAGGACCATGAAAAAATTCACGAATAAATTCACTACTTCCAAGATAATTTCTAGTTTCATCCCATCAACAATTATCATTTTAAAAATCACTTACCGGAACCTTCACTATATCCAGACTTTCCAATATGTTCTGTTCCATAAGTATCTTCATGTCCTGAAAGTTCATGTCCGGAGAGTTCATGTCCAATATCATGTTGTGATTGACTTCCAGTGTCATAATCAAAGTTGTAGTCATAAGACTCCTTCTTTTTGCGGTTATTATTTGATCTAGAAATTCTGTATGCATTGCGATGTGCAGCAAGTGATAATTCTGGTGTAATAAATTCAAACATTAATTAATATTGTACTCTTTCTACTTGAATGCTGTACGTACCTAACAATACTGCCAAGAGTAAAAATACAGCAATTGAAACTTTCATTTTCAGTCTATGTCTTTCGAAGATCAAACAAATAGCTATAAATATATAAAAATAATAATAGGAAGTAAGTTGTAGCAGTGTCCCGGTAACATGTCTCTTTCTTTCTTTTCTCATGTAAGCATGTTCATGTCTTGCTTTTTTTTTTGATAAATCTTTCTAGAAAATTTATGAGTGCAGTTTCGTTGAATGCAGGCTAGTATGTGAGTCAGTTTGGATGGCTTGGTAGACGACGGAATATCCCATGAGATGTAAAACTAGTTCGTTACTCAATATGATGTGAATTTCTATTGAAAATGTATATTGGGAGGTTAGGCACACACTCCTACCGCCTCATAGTTAAGGATTTTTTAAATTTTCTGAATCTTCTATCCCTAGGGTAATTTACTTATGACGGGACGAAATCCTTTAGATTAAGACCCTTTGTCTTTTAGTCCCAACCAACTCATTTCATAAAAGTCTTCATTTTTAATATTCCTGATTCAATCCCAGTCATTAATTATGCAAAAATAACTACATCTTTAAGACTAGCCCTAATGCACAAGTCGGTTAATCTATCAGAAATCCAGCACCAAGCTGGTGTGACTCTGGCATGGTGCTGAATTTGAATCGAAGCTTGCATAATGCAAACAAAAGTCAATAGATACAGCACTAAACAGCATTTAGACTCTCCATTTCCAAGCAATAAATCTTCTACCTAACTTCCTTCACACTCTTCCACAACTACTGTCGTTTGGTGTGTCTTTAAATTGTCGGATAATATTTTATGGACATTATTAAATGTGCAAAAAGTCAAAGAAAAGAAAAATATTTAATGCTTAGTGCCGCAACGATTTGCACAATAAATGGTAATAAGTGAATACAAAATAAATAGGAACAGATGTGAATGTGCAACATGAGAAATTATTATTTCCGGAATTTCTACTACTTTTTTTAAGCTTTGCGATTAGATTTTGCTGCTTTTACTTTGGATTGTGTTTCATTATTCGATGAATCTTAAATTGAGCATAATCAGTTAAATGGCTTATGTAATGACCTCATGTGTTGTCTCATCCAAATGGAACTATTATCACGCAATTATCTCATATTATTATTATTTTATTACTGCGGTTCAATTTATCGTACATAAAAAAAACTTCATTGTTGATTTTCATAATTTTAAATTGAGTGAAGAAAAAAATGGAAGCGCACGTATATGTGCATGATCATGGCTGGTATGTGCTACGGTAGTAAAATTAATCCATGTCAATAATTATTAAAGTTTATGGTTATGGTGGAAATGTGAATAACTTTAGCGTGCCATAGATTATAGAAGATGTGCTTTATGGACTATGTAAAATTATTGCATTCAACTTTGCTGCTCTACTGTGCTGGAAAGTTTTCTACTGGGTGGAATTGAATTTATTGTTTGCTTGAAGTTTGTTGGAATTCTTTACTTTTATTAAAGAATAAATTAAATAAAGTTGCATGTTTTCTATACTTTTAAATATATCAATTAATGTTATTGCCAGCGATAGCGCAAGCTTCAGGCGCCATCTAAGAAAGGATCTTTGGATCACAATTGATCTGTACGGCCAAAGAAATAAGGAAGTAATGCTATTTTGGAATCGGAAATGAACCTTTAAATCCCTAGCGAGACTAACTAGCAAATTGCTAGTCTTTCTATTTTACTACTTGCAATTTACTAGTTATTATTAAAACAACTTACTATTAGTAAATTACACTTACTATTTAATAGCAAATTACTAGCAAATTTCCATGAGAAATGTTTGATCAAATCTTCTTAAGTTCGAATCCTACGAAAAATCATCAAAAAAAGAAATTTTTGCATCATAAAAAATTTTGTTCTAAATTTGGCATTTGCCATATACTTCACAAGAGCGCGCAGAAATCACCTTTATAAGGTCGATCCAAATTTGTATGAGACATTCAATTTAATTATTTATCTTCCTCAGGTTTGCGTGCGGGTCATAAGCGTTCATCACTGTTTGACTTAATTAAATTAAGTCTTTTATTTTTTTTCGTAGTATTAGTGTACTTTAATTAATTAAACTAAGTACACACTAATACTTTTACAATAATTTACACAAATAAAAAAAATCAAAAAAACACGTGGAAATCAACGGTTATATTCATTTAAATTTTTTACAAATTTGCTAGTAAATTACTAGTTAAATTGTAAGCGAATTGACTAGTCAATTAGCAAGTGAAAATGCGGGTCTTTGGCGATGATTTGAACTTGGATTTTGACTAGTAAATAGCAAGTAGCAAATGGAAAGTTATCCAGTAAATTACTAGGAAATTACTAGTAAATTTCTGCTAGGGAATGATCTGATAATAAAGAATGACAGAATTGAATTTGTGACTTATCTTTTTACAATTCTGGAATTCAATTTGCTTTTTAAATTTATTTTTGGATAGCTTTAAAGCTTTACTTCGAATGATTGGAATATGCCAAGGAGCACAGTTTGGATTGAACTGTTCGAGATTAAACATTTAACTAGCTATAATACAATATTAATTTATATTTAAATCTGTTTAAATCAACAAATTATCAAAACCACACAAAGACAGCTTCAAACTCTTCGTGGAAGTCAATAAACTCAGATTATTTAAAGAAACCTTGAATCCAACATTTAAACTAAACGACATCTTAATTCTCAAGTATCAGATCATGATAAATAAGATTTAAAGTCTCAAAAGCACGCCTAAGTTCATCTTGAAACACAACCATTCTTCCTTTATCTTCTCAAAAACTTCCTTTTTCTTATTTTCTCAACCTTCTCTTTATTTAAGAGAACAATTTGTCACATAAAGCTTACAACTGATAAAAAGCTCAACATTGTTGATTTCTAAGGACAACAAAATCCTCAAAAGCGGTCACTTATAGAATTTTTTTTTTGTGTATCCCTTACATCGCATTTAATCAAGCTTAACGAAGGTCAAGAAATATATCTGAACAATTTTTATTTTCTTGGTAAGCCAATGAACTTTGTAAGGTTCAGACGAGGGTTTGTACTTCAGCATTATTTGAAATAAAATTTATGGATCGTGATTTTTTTTGAGAATCTGAGGATTTTATTGCGGATGGTGCTTGAGAGTTGTTGTCTTGTGGATTTTCAGATTCAGAAGGTATTTTATTGACATTTTTGAATTTCATTCGCAATAAAGTTTGAATCTTAAATTAAATTTGAAATTAAAATCTTTAAATCTTCAATTATTTAAACTTTTAAAAACAAAACTTCCACTTTTCAGCACCAAATCAACAACAACTCATCTTAAAATCCTCAATATTCAGCATATTAATCCACAATTCACTAATTTGCCATCTTCAAGTAATTATTCCTCATTTCACAGCAACTTTAATCCATTAATTTCACTTTCCACAGTCAATTTCTCATTGTACATCTGTTTCCTTTCCTCAACGCCACACCACATGTAGCTTCATCATTACACAATTTCATTTCATAACTTTAATCCGGTTTCAATTAACTGCACTCAATAAGTCCTTTATTGTATCCAAAATTTAACTTTTTCTCAGCCATAAAATATTATTTAACTTACTTTTTGAATTACTTTAAATTATTTTATTGCACTTTTTGATTTTTTTTGGCTACCTTACTGCTTTGATGCTCAATCTGTAATGCTTTTCCAAACCAATATTTACTCATTATATATAGATTCGAGTTGTGGCTTAACATCTTGTACATTTCTACTCTCTTTTTGCAGCTTGGTTGTTGAAAAAGGTGGAAATACAATTTTTTTTTTCACATGAAAAAGAGCTTTTTACTCTCTTCTTTGTGGCTGTACACGGTGCTTTTCTTTGTGTCGCCTTAATCAACTGACATTGCATGCTTTATTGAGGCTGCTAAATTGAAAGAAAAATTGACATTGTGAATGAAAACTTGTCAACATCCGACATTGAAAAATAAAGCCTATGGGTGCCTTTTTGTTATGCATATTGTGTTGGGTAATGAACTTATGTGTAGGAAGTTTTCTTACGAAGAGAAACGGACGAATTAAGTGCATTTTAATTCCATATATCAGTTAAGTCAACCAAAAAACTAAGAAACAGTTGCATCTTAATCATGTCTAGAACTAAAAACAAAGATCCTGTTGAACGTAAATCACACATAATCTTCAAAATAAAATTAAAAAATTTTCTGGAACGGTTTTTTAATGTTCAAAAGTCACGGTTTTTTTCAAAATTTGAATTTAATTGAATTTAATTGAATCAAAATCATATGTTTTGCAAAAATGAGTTATACCACTAAAAAAAGAAAAGGCAATTCAACATAGAAACTAAGAGGAATTGTGAAAATATGTATGTGATCGTCCATATTATCATGCAGCAGCTATCTGATGAAAAAAATCTGAAGTCTCTAAATGCTTTTTATGCCAAGATCTAGAGGCATCCAGCAGCCAGAGTGAACCTTTTAAAAAAGCATTAAAAATTATATGAAAACCTTAATTTTAAGGAATTTAAGCAAAACTATTGAGTATTGAAAATATGACGTAGATTTAAAAAAAAAATTAAAACTTTTTTTTCTGGATGCCTCGTTAATAAGTTTTAATTGATTTTAAATTCAACGATAACAACAATAAATCATCAAAAAAATCATTTCCATCTTAATTAAAAGCAGCTATGCTCTAAAAGTTTTTTAAGGGTTATACAACAACCCTTTGAGTAACTTACAATACTTGATAATTCCTACTTAATTAAATTACAAAATCCCTTCAATGATTTTCCAATCATTTAAACAATATCTCAATTAAAAATGTTGAACAACAATCTCCAAAATATTTAGCATCAATAAAATGGTTCAATGTGCAATGAACAAGAGTCAATGGCTTCATTCAAATCATAATCACTATGTCCAAGTAATAAAAGAAGTTGTGAGTAAACATTTTTTGCTTTAATTTCTCAATCAAAATGTGATTATTGGAATTAATTTAACGCTGATCAATTAACAGTTGGTCAATGTAAGTTAAAACTCATGTGGAAAAATTATGCAAAAAGAAAAACTTTTAATGCACAAATCAAGTGGAATTATCAGTCGAATTAACGGAATTAGTTCATCTTTTGTTGGAAGATAATTAAATTTCTTTATTGCCGATCAACGAAAATCGATCAAATTTCTCAAATCTCGAGACATTTTCTTACATTTTCTCTTTCGCAATGTTAAGTCATAGCAAAAAAAAAATTGTATTTAAGTGAGATGGATTAGACGCTTTATTCATAAGCTGAAAACGAAAATTTTTAAAATTCAAAATTTGACGACTTTTGACAATTCAAAATTTAACGCTCTTTAAGAATTCAAATTTTAACGGTTCTAAAAAGTTAAAATTTTAATGGTTTTCAAGATTTCAAACATTAACGTTTTTCAAAAATTCAAAACTTAACTCCTTTCAAAAATTTAATTTCTTAAAAAAATTTGGTAATCAACAAAATGACTCATAAACCTCACAATCAGTTCCAAAAAATCTGTTGAGAAAATTAAGTCATCACACAAAAAGCATGGCATTTAGCAAATAAGATGAAAACAAAATAACTCAAAATTTATTAGTCGGAATGATTTTGAATCTACCAAATAACTACTAGGCGGTTCGCAAAAAAAAAGAAGTATAATTTCTGTTAAGCATGAAGCATAAAACTGCGCGCGCATCATTGCATTAAAATCTAAACCACTATTCATATTCCATTATGGATTTGCTGACTACTAAAAAGTTCATAAATGTCTAATACACTCGTGCTACTTGTTTACTTTGCTGATGATTTAATGAGCAATTTTAAAGGTAATTTTTTCACACCGTGTGAATTGAGCACTTTCCACCTATTGCTGGTCATTATAAATTCTTTCACCTGCTTGTGCACATCACTCTCGCATGATGCCTGAACATTTCTTGATTTTTAAAATCTTTAAAACATTTTTCTTAATTCGGGCGAATCATGTTCGAGTTGTATGAAACTTAATTGTCCGCAAAATACAAAGGAAGAAATGCTTTTTGGCGTTTATGAAGAAGAAACTTGAGCTGATGTTCATTTTTGCTGAAATTTGTTATAAATATTTCATCTTCTTGACTTTTTTTATGCTTAGCGGATTATTTGATTGCAATGTAGGAAGATGTTTTGGTTTGTCATTAAAAAGTTGTAGTAAAGTTGTGGCTGAAAGAACATTTTGGATTCTTGTAAAACTATTCTCTGCCACATAAAAACTCCCGAATTGCATAAGTCGGTTAATCGAATAGAAATCCGGTACCAAGACAGCATGACTCTGGAATGAAGCTGGTTTTGATTTTAATTCAGCAACATGCCAGAATCACACCGGCTCTGGTGCCGGATTTCTAATCGATTAACCGATTTGTGCCATTCGGGAGTCTGTTGAACTTAGTGAAACTATTCTTTTGATAACATTTTAACTTAGCTTTGCTTTTTAAAACCAAAAAGTGAAAAACTGGGCTAGAAAACCAACCAGTTTAAACTCGAAAAATTCATTGATATTAATTAGTACAAAGTCAGGTCAGGTGAGGTTATAAAGCCTAATCTAAAGACTCTCATTTCGATGATCCTTCCAAAGAGTTATGCTATTAAATAATTAGTTTTTAAAAGCTTTAGTACACAACGTCGCTCAGTTCACACTCTCCCAAACTCTAAGTCCAGCCCAACTTGCGATCATCTTCCTCCAAAAATTTAATTTCAACCGGATTCCGCAAAAAATGCTTTTATTTATTCCATTTCTTTTTATGCAAAAACTGCAAAGCTCATCTTTTGTATTATTTATTACTTAATTTGATATCATAACACCTAAAAACTGTTTAATAATTGCAACTTATAAATTAAAAAGTATAAAAAAAATTAATAAATTCAATTAATTCCATCAGATTACTTAACACAAAAGTTTTATTAAAAGAAAATGGTGAGGAAGAGGCTGTTGTTGTTCAAAGCGCACCATTAGATCCAATTAAATAAATTAGGGAAATGCGATGAAAATGAAATTTAATCATCTGCTGTTCAGTAAAGAGGAAATGGAGGCGGGTTGATCAAGATTATCACTTAATCATAAACATATTAAGCATTAGTTATTCAATTTTTAAAGCATTTAATCTCATTTATTTACCATCACTTTTCACACTCATCGATGGACATGAAAAAAGCTTCTTTCTTCTTCTTCTTGTTGATTTTAATCGTTCCTTTGTGTGATCATAGCTTGTAAATTTCTAATTTATATTCAAATCAAAATTTGTAGGGCTATAATAATAAGAAGAATGAATCAGCATGTCATCGTTGAGTTTTGAGTTAAAATTATGAACATGGAAATTAATGCATGAGCTGACATAAACTGGTGTGAAGATGGACGATTGTAAAAAGTGATGTAAATGAGATTATTTTGGCTACTCTTTGAAATTAGTTTTAATATTGAAATCTTTTAAATGTGCCAGGAGAGAAGATTAGAGAATCATTTAATTCTGACGGAAAATTGAGGTTCGAATCTTAGTTTAGGATAAAATTGCTAATTAGAATCAGTTGCTGTAATTGTTTTATTTTGTAATTTTCGAAACTTTATTTTTGACACAGAATTTGTTTATAATTAATTTGACTTACTTTTAAAGAAGATAAACAGTATAGGGAGGCAATGTATTTCAAACTTTTTGGTTTGTGACACAGTTTTGAATCAAATTATTTTTTGAGATACATCCAAAAAAATGGGTTTAATTTAGTGCAAAAAATGCTTAAAACTGAGTTTTACGACTTTTTGTTCGTCAATAATAGACACACCAAAGGACTTATAAAGGAAACTATTAGTAGTTAAAAAGGTTTTGAAAATTCCAGCGTCATCCAGAAAATAAAAATTAATAATACAACATTTTATTACTCAGAATTCCGGATTTAATACTTTCAGTGAATAAACTTACTAGCCTCATTCATTAATTGTATCATCTTTTTCATTCTGGAATTGTATCATATCATAGCAAAACTTCACGATGCGGAATCATCATCAGATAAATGTGTGTAATGTAATGCAAGTAACATAATAATATTAAACACTCCATATCTTAAATCTTAAAAAATTGAAATAAACATGTCATATGGAATGTAATCATGTTTTTATTATTTCAATTAACGAATTTATGAGTCATAAATTTATTACAGTCAGACTTATATCATTAGACCGTGATTGTTTTTGCATGACAACTTATAAATGTGTTATTATTAATCGAGTATGTAATAGAATCGCGCAAAAATATTCAGTAACAAAAAAAAAATCGCACACGAGGCAATGACATTTCCGACATTTAAATTTCCGACTTACAGAAGGTAAACAGTGGCAAACTTGTTATTTTAAGTAATTTTGTAAGATTTAAACTTTTTTGAATGAAAATTTTATTCATGATTAGACTGTTTAATTTTCTAAGAAAAATAGGTTCAAAAAAAAGGACATTCGGGATATTAGGCAAGACTTTGTCGGAATGTCTCGCTCAAAAGTGCGCAGTTGGATTTGACTTATAAATCATCGTTCATAAGCAAATCTTCTTTAGTAATCTTGAAATCATCCGTTGATTAATCTTTGTGTGATAAAAGGTCGCTTCCTTTTAAAAATTGTCATTCTTATGCATAAAAGAAATCTGTTCAAAAGTATTGTCACTTCTTG